TGCAGTCGACGCTCTCATTAACGCCCCGTGTCGAATGCAGCAGCCTCACCTTTACTTCGTTCGTCCTCCGTCGTCAAGTTGTGAGTGACGTTTAGGCGACGCTCCCACTTCTCCATATACCGTACAAGCATGCAGGAGGTGCTCTCCTCAACCGCCTCTCATCCAGTCTTCTACACCGCTCAATCCTTCTGCGTGAAGACAAGCCTGCCCATGGACGCGAATATCTACGGTCGGGGCGAACACACAGAAAACTTCCATCGCCTTAGTGTCGATTTGAGACTATGGACCGAGATTGGTATGTCATGACGAGGTTTCGTTTCGAGCCAAGTTTTAGGATTTGACGAATGGTGGAGGTTCGCGCAGGATAACGATGTCCTAATGATTACCGAATACGACGGAATCATTGAGGACCTCGCGCCGTTTTGGGAGCTGCCTGCTGATGAGCTGCGGACAAGGGCAGTCTGGTGCGTCATGAAGTCTTCATATACATGTTCACGAACTTCAGTTTGAAGTGATTTTGCATAGGCTGGCCATCTTCCTTCTGTCGACATGGTAAGGGTTAGAGATGGAAAGTCTATGGCCGAGAATATTAAGGATGTCCACAGACATCAGTGCTCGCGCCAAGGGCTTCCGCAGGATGATCGAGAAGTTCCAGGACAAGGTATGTATGCCAATCCTGTTGAGATGCTTCGTGAAAGATCACAGTGTACTAGCTTCCCGACCTAGACTTCCCTATTAGCGTTATGGTGGAGGGGCATATTCTCGTTCCTTGGGAGCAGCGCGCATTTCCCAACGAGATTTCAGGTGACTCAAAACTCATTGACATCGCGCCATGCCAGTCCTTGACTTGTATTCCAGATAGCATTCCAGATAACATTCTTGCTGAGCTCAGTGGGATGTACTCACCCGACTGGCGAGGGGAAGGCAACGTTTGGGAAGCATACCGCTGTACATGTCTTCCAGGCACGCCTGCTCGACGTCTCTTCAGCTTGTTCCGCGCCTCCTCTTCAGAACGCACAAGCCAACTACTAGCGCGTAACGAAGAATTTGTTTTTTCCACCGACGTGAGCGGAAATTGTTCATTCTGCCTCAGCCCGTTGGCACACTATAATCAAGGACACTTCTTCTCTGATTGGCGCACAATACCGGCTCTGTTTCCAATGTTCTCTCCAGCGCAGGCATCTGGGTATTCTGATATCAGAATACCGCTCGCGCAAGCCGTTTTGGAGTACGAGAGGAGATATGGGAGAAAACCCCCGCGGGAGTATAAGAATGACAAGATCTTCTGGAGAGGCACTTCTACTGGTGGTGGTAGTTCCCCCGCGGCTTTGCCGCACAGTATCAGCGGCATAGGTAAGCCCAATTTACTTATTAAATTTCTTTCTGGCTGAATGTGAATTTAGGTTCGTCCGCATGGCGAGCGGTCGAGTCGCACAATGGTGTTTGCGGACCCTCCAGGTTCAAGCAACTATATCTATGCAGAGGTACCTGTGGGGATGCTCAATGACGAAATCGTGGACGTCGCTTTCGTGAACTTGGTAGACTGGTACCACTTCCCTGGAGGTCTTTTGGCGCTTGTCAGGGCCCACCGATTCTACGACGGCGGTGTCAGTCTTGGTGAACATTGGAAGCACAAGTATCTTGTCGACATCGACGGTATGGGATACTCTGGACGGTTCCTCTCTTTCATGGAGTCGGACAGTGCAGTGATGAAGTTCACAGTCCATCGGGAGTTTTTGTCCGACTGGATACAACCTTGGTACGTGCTGGAGAACAACTCTACTCGCTGTTGCCCTAAGCCGTTTCCTTACCCCATGTTACACTACATACCCGTGTCTCAATCATACCAGAAAATTTATAATATACACGCATTCTTCTCAGGAGCAACCCCCTCAACCCTAAAAATTGCTACTTTGACGGCATCAGATCTACTTCCTGACCAACGCTGTACGATGGACGGAGACCGCCGACTGGGACGTATCGCAGGTGCTGGGAAGCAGTGGAAGCAGACAATTGGAAGACGGGTGGATATGGACGGTGCGGTGCCACCTTATCCCAAGACTACATGTACGAGTGTCGGGTCTTCACGCTTGATCCAGATTGCTTCCCTCTACAGAGGCTCAATTATCTCCAGCTCACGACCAACATTATGGTGCGTAGGCGATCGGTCGCTCTCGCATAGTTATTCCATCGCTGATCCGAGTCTCAGCTACGATGATTGACCCTGCTGTTGTATACCTCTCCGAGGAAGGATACGATGCTCTTGATCGCGGACAGCGGTCGACGTCTGGCTCAAGGCGGCAAAAGGTAACGACTTCTCGGGAGTCGTATGGCCTGGTACGGATGGTCTGGTATACCGTCCCAAGGGCGAAGGGCCAACTGAACGCTGATCTCATTTCGCAGGTTGGCGGGCACTTGTCGAAGTTTTTTGCTTCGCATGATAGACAACTGGCTATCGCTTCAGACTGGTTCACCCCCGCTGCACAAGGGTATGCAACCCCTTCTGTTTCACCGTCCTCGAGCTCACGCAGTAAACTAGCTTCTGGTTATACGGATTTAGCACCTTCTACAACGTTGAGACAGGTCTCGACATTCAAGCGCTTGGATCGGCATGAACGAGCCATTCAGTGTTCGTCGTTCGTTTCCTTCACTCCCGGATATTTGACGTAACACTCTTTTCTTGTTCGATTGTAGCTCTGCCTCTAGTCGTGTGACGACCCCTTCGGTCAGGCTGATGCACAGGGCCTTCCACCTGCGCTGACGACCGTTCCTCTGGACCCAAATGCTCCGATCTTCAGCTATCGGAACCTGTCTGACACGGAAGAGGGCCGACACGAGTAACTACAACGTGCTCAATCCGCCGTATGCCATCAACAACGCGTCTCACGTCTCATTGAAGGCAAGTTTGACTGTGATGTCTGAAGGCTTACATGGCATACTCAGGCTAGGAAGGCATAGGCTTTGAATTGAAGCTTCAAGTGCCCCTCCTCTGTTTGTTGGAGAACAGACAGTGTAAGTTGGCTGGCTTCACTTAATACTTGCAAGTTACTCTACTGATCGTGGCCATGCACTTTGTCAGATTTGCGCAGACGACATGGTCGACAGCCTTCGCCACTATGCAGGTCACCCGTCTGGGCAGAGATGGGCCCGTCATAGATGTGGTGCGATATCAATGAAGCTAGGGGTTCCGCGTGCTGAGGTGACGTGCTCGTTCCTTTGTCCCTCTTCCTGAAGGTTTGCTTTGTACCCAGCTTCTTGGGCCTCTTTATCTGGTATTTGCCTAATCCACTGGCTTACTGAATTGGCTTACTTCGTGAACGTTCAGGGCATCATTAATGTGCGCGCTCACCTTTATTGTCAAAACTCGCAAGCGGCGTGCTGCTCACGCCTCTCAGACCATTTCGTTAGGCTTTCTTCTATGGTGTTGTGCGAACAATGTTGCATTTCACGCAGTCTCATCAGATTTGTTGCTGAGTACACCGTTCATCAGGGCCTCTTATATTGAGACCTATTCGTGTTCATCTCAGAGTCATATGACTGGGAAGCTAAACACGGCTAAATCGACAGGTGGCTGGCGAGCCTTCAAACTTCACCATGGGCAATGTGGCCATCTTAAGTGTGTTCTTATCGGGCGATTGTCGGTTATCGGTTACCTCTGACCCCAGCAGCTCGGTGTGACATCGCTCGCGCAAGACGTCCTGAAGTTCGCGTGATAGCCTCGGCAATGATAACAAGAAGCTGTGGTCAAGGGCATAAGGGACGGTCAGCGTATGTCTGACAAGCGACGTGTATGTTTATTTACCTTCACGGAGCAGGGCAGGTTTTGAGATAGTTCTTGAGGATCGGGAAATCGGCCATCGATGCTTCTGCCATCTGAGAATAGTCTGCGTCGTGGTATTTGGCGACAACGGTGTTTCCACGCCACGCTTTAGCCTCGTTGAAGGAGGTGCCCTGAATCTCGCGGATGCACTTGTTGACTGGGAAGGGCATCCCATCACGGGAGACAATGGGGTAGAAGAGTATGTACGGAGTGGGGAACTTCTTGTTCATGCCATCAAGGGCCTCAACAAGCTAAACAGGTGTGGGAGACGGGAGAACACGAGTGAGCGTCATGGCCGGTGTTTAATCTGGGGGAGAGATCGCATTAGACGCACATGATACCGCCAGGACCTGGGCCCCAAGCCTTCAGCAATATAGTCGATATGAATCTCTGGGTGTGGCATGCGACCACAGCGGTAAGGCTGGGACGGATTGGGAAGAACCACATTGAGCACTGTGGTCATCAGGGAGACCAAGTGGGGGGGACGGTCGTCGGAAGGAAAACAAATCGCGTCGTAGGGAATCATTTGGTCCATGGCGAAAAGACGAGAAAATTGAAGTGTGTACAGTGAAGTAGAAAGTTGGACGAAGAGCGAAGAACTGGAACTTGGTGCTCACCGAGGAGGACTGCGAGGGGAATATATACCGCTGGGGGTGTTGCAGCATGCATATCGAGGGATATAGCCCACTGAGTGGCAAGGCTGGGAAGGAAATGATGGACTGGAGGCTCATGGCGGATGCATGCGTGAACCTCGCGACTGGCAGATCTTGGCAGCGTCGAGTAACGGTTGCCCGAAAAGGCAGGTGTAGTGGCCGTAAGAGGCAAGCATGCATGACCATCACGACGCATGCGTGACGGCGCGCAGGGTTAATGTTAACTGAATGTTAACCGAAGGCTAACTTCCGCGTGTCGTCGCCGGCTCGCTGCTGTGTTTTTGATCAAAGGGAGCCCCTGTTCGAATTCTAGATTCCAAATCAATACTGCTGCGCTACCCTGCAAACCACGCCATCGATGGAGTGCGGCGTGCTCGTCGCGTCCCATCTTTCCTCCCTCTTCCCGACGTCGTCCTTGCCCATCTCCGTCCTCACATCGCATAAGGATATTCGAACTCAACCTTTCCGTGGACTCCTCTGCTCCCCCAGAACATGCCAGCTACTCCACCCTCTTTCATACCTCCAGAATGGGCACCATTCTGCTTCGCCTCACACACCGTGCCACCCTTTTCGAACTCATCACTCTCACCCGCGATGCTCCCCAGCTGCGCTTTGATTTTCCTGGTGCCATCTTACCCTCTCCGGCAGTTTTCTTGTGGGAAGAGCGAGAACTTCACGTTATTGCCGTCTCAGTCATAGGCTTTCTCTATCGCTTTGTCCTCCCTCTTCAACGTGGCGCACAGCTCTGGCACCCCAGCAAGTACTGGTTTCGCCAGTACGACATCCAGAACATGCGGTCAGACATGGAGGGGTTGGGCCACATTGTGTTGTTTTGAGTTTGCCCGGTGGTGCCTTGCTACGTTTGGAAGCAGAACTTCTTGGGAATGATGACGAGGACGGTACGGCTCTCGACTCGCCCCTGGTCTCGCTGCGGCCATTATTAACCCGCTATTAGATGTTTGGCAAGAGACAAAATTCCATCCTCATTTCACTCCTTACTTCGATCACCTCGTTGCTGCCCTTGCAAGGCGGTCCTCCAGGAAGTTCCGACATTATCTCAATGGCGTCCTTCCCCCAGCCAACCGATATTGAGCACGTTTGGACTCTGTCAAGAGATCGGACCCTCCGGCTTTGGACAGCACGAAGCGGATGTGTTGCTGAGAAGTCGCTCGCTGCGATCATTCCAGGAAAGGCCATCACGCCTGCTTTGACATCCGCCTCAAGCTCCGGAAAACTCTCGAATCTTCTGCCTGCAGATGCGCGGAAGCGTCTCAGTGTATTTCCAGAGTTTGAAATGGAGGACCCTGTGCCTTATGTTCTCGCGTTCATCCCAGCTGAATCATCCTCGACTTCGGGAGGTTATTTCCATCTCTTCAGCTCGCATTCCAGCGATCTACATCCTCTGAACTACTTTTGAGTGCTCCGTCACAAGTGCACATTGTCATTTACAGGACTTCGTGGTGATTGGCTCCACCCTGTACACCATCTGGGATAAGCAGGGCCAGTCAATGATAGAAGACGCCAAGATTTCGTTTCATGATGATAACAGGATCGAGGTGGTGTGGAACACCGCGACTTACGCCCATGAGGCGGAGCTCACACCGGCGTACCTCGAAGAATTGCTTCTGTCCGCAGGCTCCATGGCTGACAAGTTTTTCGGAGCAATCTCGAGACCAGGCACATTCTCGCCTGTGACGCTTCGGACTGTCATTGATCAGTACACTGACGCATGCCGCTCCCTCCCCCCGCCATGTATGCCACAGCTGTTGACCACGTACGGCAGCGTGGGCGAGCAGATTGCTGCCGTAGTGGGCGGCACGGTTGAGCTCACCCGCGATCTCAGTACCGGTGCTTCGCAGTACGACAGGTACTGGAACGCGCTGAAACGCGCGACTGGGAGGGCTTCGTAGCGCGGTGTCACGAGATCGAGCGCCATGTGCGCTGGCCGCTGGCGATCGGCATGGGAGAACCCAGGGAGGGCATTCTGGTCGTCGAATGCGAACGCATCGCGGCGCTCGTGGATGAGGACTTTCCTCTTAGGTCCCGCCGGCTTCTCGTGGCGTCTTCTCCCCTGGACCCCCAATTTACCCTCCTGGAGATCCTGTGGACGCTGCGTGCTAAGATTGGCACCCGGCCCATGCTTGTTTTTGAGGATCGATTGGTCGACCTTGTGCATCAAGAGATCGCCTTCCCATACGCCGATATTATACAGGACCAAGCCGAGCGGATCAACATCCGCGAGGAGCTCGACAAAGGCATGGAGAGTTGGATTGCCGGGCGCTTGCAGAGCATCGACAACATGTCAGACGCTATTCAATCGGTGCTCAATGTCATTGGTGGCTTGGAAAAGAACGTGAAGAAAGAAGATGAGGATGAAGATGGGGCGTTGCGGCTTCCATCCGCCTATCCGGAGTGGTGGAGGGCGCTTGTGTCTTCGTACGTTGCAGTTTCCGTCCAAGCACGATATGGCTTGTGTCTGTCACTCGTTACGTTGCTCTTCTTCGTCTCGGAAGATTTGCCACAATGGGATCCTGCGTTGCTAGCAGAAATCTTTGTGGTATTCCGTGGGATCGCCATGTTCCGGTACGCGACGCGCCAGCCAGCTGCGGGCAGCGTCAGTACGCCAGCTGCTGAGCCCTTGACGGACGAGGAAGTTGTCGCGAAGATGAGGGACATGCATGTCTCCTCAACAGCCTCTGGATTCACGCCGAGCTACTCGCTCATCCACCGTCTCCTCACGCAGTACGGCAGCGATGCAGCAATCGTGCCTGCCTCTGCACACCTATTCTTAGATTCTTCCGGGCTGCTGGAATCCTTATCTCCTGCAAATGCGACGAAGCTCGAGGTGCTCTTTTGTGAGCGGCTTCGCCTTCTCGGATACCGCAAGGTTTCCAGAGAGAGCTTAGCGTGGCTACCCAGGACAGCTGGGGTGACGTACGTGCTTGGCCGACTGTGGTTGGATGAGGGTAGGTACGATGATGCAGCCTCTGTAATGGAGGGTGTGGCAGTCAGCTTCGGTGAGTGGGTTGGAGGGTGTAATCCCTGTACTGCGTCACTAATAATGGTATCGCCCGCCAGGACGTGACAGCGCGTTAACCACGGAGGACCACGAGGCTCTGGCCGGGGTACTGCCAGGCGCGGCGTTCTTCCAATCTGTGTTCGATTTCTATTTGCATGTCGCCGGCCTCTTCAAGGCCGTTTCTGTGACATCAAGTGAAGTGGTGTTTTCCCAGCTCGCTCTGTCCGTGGCACCGCCAGGCGTCGACAGCGCGTCCCTGTGGCACGCGGTCATAAGAGGCCTCACGGACTTGGAGCTTTATGAAGATGCGTATGTCGCACTAGTCTCCCCCTGCTATGAGAAATTGTGTGTGGGCGTCTTCTTTCTGTCCCCGTCCCGTGTGTCACATGATAACTTACTGTCTTGTGTTTACCAGAATATGGGAATGTGTGAGCCAACTGATGTACCGGATGTGCGAGGAGCACGCCGTCGACCGGCTCATGGCCCTTAATTTTGTGGGCTTTGTGGACGAGGTGGAGGAATCGCTCTCGTTTAAGGCCCGGAACGCGGACCCGCGAGTACGACCGTTCTACTCAAGGATACTCTACATGTGGTATATCTCTCGTGGCGATTATCGCAATGGTCAGTCGTCATCCTTTTCCCCAGGGAACGTCATTCTCAACCATGTTTCTCGAACCTTAGCCGCCCTCACAATGTACCAGCGGGCGCGGAAGCTCGCCAGCCTGTTCGGAGACCCGGCGAACTTCATTGAAATTGCCGAGTTGCGGCTTGAAGCTTATGTTGTTGGAATGAATGCTCTCGTGCTCACTGATCAGAAGAACGCATGGATCGTCCTGCCCGTCACGGCCGAATCCGAACACGAGGTAAACGGGGCTTCCTCGCTCCGGATCGCTTGTCCATGATGCTAATTGAAAATGATTTTGACGCGTGCAGCCCCGTAAGCACCGTAAGCTGTCGCGATATATCCCGGAGGACAAGTACAGGCCCGGGAAGCGGGACATGGAAGTGGTGGAACTGGCGGACATGCAATACGAGTGTATACTTTTGGCTATCCGTCTGGAGTTAATCCACCGCGACCCCACACTTCTGTCAGTTGGGGGTAAGTTGTGTCCGGTTCCCAAGCTTGACGTCCTCGTGAGCTGACAATGAGCCCGCAGAAGCGCTGCTATCGCCTCCGTCCGTCGTATTGCGTCTGACACAAGCGAATCGCTTCAACATGGCCATGGCTACCGGCGCGCACGCACACTTAATGTCGACATGACTGATCTCTTCGGACATTTGACCGGCCTATTTTTGCGCCAACCCGGAGGCTGTCATGTAAGGCTCTTGTCTGCCTGTTCGAAGCCTCCGTTGATAGCAGCGAAGACACGTCTGACTGGCTGCTAACTGACAAAGTGACTTCGTGGCCCGGCACTGCAGCAGACCGAGGCTGGCGATACCTTCGAGAGTCGCTGGAGCGGCACGATGGTCCGGATACGGATTACAGATACACCAAGGTGACATTGGAAACCATCTTAGAACTCGATCGCACATCACCACCCCCACAGTGGTTGACTCAGTCGCTAGAGGCAAGTCTTCTACGCGCAGCCATTGTGGGCGCATCGCTAATTCCCCCGCCACAGGTGCACCACCCTGAGTATCTGATTCGCACATGCCTGCACTACGAGATGTTCGAAGGGGCACTGGAGCACACGTTGTCGCTAATGTGGAGAGTGAGTGTCCAGACCCTCTCCATCGTCGTGGTCACCCTTCTGATTAAGCTGCCTCCTTGCAGAGTGACGCTCACCTCGCACAGGAGAGGCCCAAGGCCGCGTCTGTAACCTGGCTACCATATACCTTGATTGACCAGGTTCTCGCCGCAGTGGATACCCAGCAGGGGCTTCCCATCGGGGCTCAGTCTCTACGCAAAGAATTGCGGACAGAGATTTCCAACCGCATAAAACGCGTGCAAAAATTCGGCCAGTCTGTCCGATAGCCACGGTCCGTTTGTTGTGATATCCCACTGCTTATTGGTAGATACTGTACGTGTTAATCCTGCACTGTTCGCACTACTCATCACCCATGCCGTCGTGTAAAATAGTAATACCGTTTCTGGATCTATTTTACTTTACACCATGGACATCGTCGCCCCGAAGTGGCTGTTACTTTGACTAAGTGCGAGGTAAGTAGAGAAGGCTCTCAACACCGCGTAATGGCCTCTCTTCTTTCTCCGCATCTGGGGTGCCTTCTTTGATGTTAAAAGTCCCGACAGTCTCCGCTGGGTCGGAAATGCACTTGGTTCGGGGAACAGTAAGCCACGAGTACGTCCTATCCACATCTGCTACGATCATATTTTGTCCTCAGCGACTCTTCACCGCTGACACACTACAAATTTGAATGCAGATAGCGCACCAGCAGGCATCACCTGTGATGCATGCGGCGGTGCCGAATGTCGGAGAGATGGCCGTGTTCCAGCTGTGTGGAGACTATGGAGGCCCGTGTATTCTCCCTTTTAATGTGCCAATAGGTTCGGCCTTAACGCCGCAGTCACCCGCATTGCAGCATTGTGCAGGAGGGTGCATAGCTCCGATCGATGACTCCCCCAAGAACTCGTGAGTCTCTTAGGAGCGATCTGAAACTTGAATGGACGCACGGGTGATAGGTTCGAAATTGCAAAAGAGTGAAGTAAACCGTTCTGGAACAACACTGGAGGATATTGGAGGCATGACCTCGCGTACGACGCACGGTATTTCCTGTCACACGGCAGTGACGGTCAGATTGGACCTCTTCGCCAGCCATTGCACGCATGCAGAACAGGTCCAGAGCTAGCTAAGTGCAACCCAAAGAAACGTCGAGATATGACTCTAGTGGGACTTTCATTTGCAGAAACGGTTATACAATGGCGCAGCTGTTGGCAATGCCGCACTAACACCTTCGGCGCGATCTTCCTCTTCCATGCATACTCAAGTCGCGTCGAATTATCAACAGATAGTGGACGCGCTCAAGGAGAACCCGCCCGCTTTTCTGACACACCCTCCATCCGTTCCTCCCAAGTCGGAATTTTGGCCTAGGGCGAGGGCGATCTGCACAGTGCCACCTTCTGACCAGCTTCGCTAAACTGTTTCTGATCCCGGTCACTCTTCCGCATCTCCCACGAGCTCCAGCAGCGTCCGCAACACGAAGAGCTATGTCTCACATACCCACTCGCTGTTCGGTCCGTCTTCTTACTCATCTAGGTTAACTTGGACAGATGCAGTGCATTTCCCATTGTCCGGGAGTCCTCCGGCTGCCGATGGAACGACATGGGGTGTAGGAGGCTTCGCAAGCTTTCTCATCCTGGTCCCGCATCTGTGGCTCCCAACGCTTGCGGTTCAGCCAGAAGGTCAAGCAGCAACTCCCTTTGTGAGGGAATGCATTCGTCGAGCTTAAATGCTAGTTCCACGACTACTCCCCTTTCTTCTGTGCTAGCTACACCTCCTATCACACCTGAATGCGATTCGTCCTGCATGTCGCCGGTCATCGTCCCTGTACCTTCTCAGGAAATGTTCCATTCACCATTACACTCATCCATCGGGCTGTCCTCGATTAGTGTCAGTCCAAGGGGATCGCGCAAATTGAAGAAAAAGCGACCCCCTCACCCCCCGTCTTCTATGATGCGTTCGTTTTCAGGCAGCCCCCTCCCCCCTCACATACAGACTTGAGGAACGTCAAAAGGTCAAGCACAGGCTTTATGGTTACCTCCCTCCAGTGCGGTCAGGCACGCACTTCAAATTCAAGTTCAAACTGTCAATTGAGTACTGCAGTGCGACTCACTTCGCTTCTTAAATACAATTGAACAGCTCCCCGCAGATAAGTAATCCCACCTGGCCCGGCCCAGTCAAACAGGAACAAAGGTATACCTTCACTAATCGACAAGAGCTGGGATCGCGTACTACGTGATCGAGTGGCAAAGTCGTAGCAAAGAAGCAGAAGTAGCCAAATGCATGGCCGCACGTCTTCGAACACAGCGTGAGGCAGCTTGCGGGCAGGCGTACAGCTCTCAGAGATGGCGGGATGGATGTCCTCAGAGACGCGCCGTGCACCTGCGTCCTGTGGCCGCTTTTTGAGCTGGTCACGCAGGGACCTTATCTGACTGAGGAGGACGATGGTGAAGGCAGACTTCTCATCACCTTCGAAGCCTGCAAACAGCACGAGGGTGGAAACACTTATGGAGATTTGTAGTCAGCAGGGACAACATTAGTAGAGCGCGTAAGACGTACAAGGCCTCCTTGGGGTAGGCAAAGCCGAAACCGTGGTGAATACGATCTTGTTGATGAGATTATCTGGGTACGAGCTGCTGTGGTTGCTCTTCCGCTTGTTCTTCCACTAGCACGCATACAAAATGCACCGTCGTTGTCAGGTTTCTCGAATAGGCTACGGAAAGACATGCAACATGTCAATATAAGCCAGTACCAGTAACCTGAGAAGTTCGACGTAGTACTTGCAGTCGAATCCGCTCGCTGAGCGCGGGCTCGAGCTTGTCGAATTCGTTCCAGGGCAGGCAGCTGATAACAAACTCAATGCCTTCCACAGTTATCGTCAGAATCAACGCACTCACTTCTTCAGCAAGTAAGTCGAAACCGTACGAGACCATATCTAGAAATTTTCGCTCTGCGGCTGCTGCTGGTTTGTCTGGGCCTGCTGGGTGCTTATTGGCAGCTAGAAACGACTTGATCACTGAGGCTCCTCCTTCTACCATGAGCGAGCGGATGCCCAGATCCCACAGAGTCCTGAGAAGCTCGGGTATTGATATCATTCCTGACAATAGTTCGTGTTTTCAGTGCCATGAGGAACGCAGCTAAATACACACCATGGTCTGCGCGAACTTCTACTAAAACGCGTGCGCCTGCCTCCTCCAATGCCTGCCTCCGTGCCGACCATGTGGCGAATGCTTCGCTGTCATTCCCAGAGGGATCAATCAAACTGGAACAGATCACCCACGGCCTCCTTCCTCTGCCTTCTCTGTAGTTCTTCAATAGCTTGCAGTCCGGCGAGACTTGGTAGATAATATCGGTGTGGATAATGCAAGGGAAGAGGCGGAAGATGCCGTGCTGGAAGAATGAACCCATGGGGGACTGGGCTATACCACGAGAGACTGAAACAGCGTACCGATCAACTGCGGATCGTAATTCAACGCGGTCCCGATGCCAACCAAGATAGAGATGCCAACCAAGGTAGAGATGCCAACCAAGATAGAGATGCCAACCAAGATAGCGTCGTGCATGGTCCTCATCCTGAGCTTTCGGGTGCGAATAAGGACACGGACGAATGTCGATCTGCGCGAGGAACGCACCAATGCGTCATGACCATGCTCTCATTTACGCTCAATGCGAGCTGTTTCCCACCCGCTCCGGCGATCTTGGCGTCCAAAGATTGCGCAAAGGTCAATTTCGTTGGATTTCGTTGGATCTGGCGACATTCGCCAGATCAGAACGCCGAGCTGCGCGAGCTCGGTGCGCGTGATGGATATCCGCCGCGAAGCAACCTCCCCTCGTGGTGGTCCAAAAGGCTGCCATCCTAAGCGTAGATTATGCACAAAAATGGCGTCACTGGCCCGCCGCTCTTCCAGGATGGGGGACCCCTTCTCCGATGCTGGTTCGCTACGGGCTTCTGGACCTCCTGAGAATTCCCCGGACTAGTTCCTCTTAGCCTTCACGCACGATCCACACTTCGGAACCTCTGTCAATGTGTGAGCGTGAAGAGAGAACGCGTACTTGATGATGGTGGGCGCGAATTACGGTGTTCATCCTGGTTGAACCTCGGACTGACGCGTTGCTGTCGCAATCACGTGGTGGTTTTTTTTCCTTCTTTCTCCGTTGTATGAACTATTGATACAATGGTTCTGCATCCCGTTGAATATTGGGAACATGTCTATTTCACACATGACGTTTAGTGTCGATCGAGTACATGCACAATGTGTTATCAAATAAAGAGGGTGTACATCAGTGCTAGTGGTAAGTGGTAGCTCGTATAATATGCTGAGGCAATGATGTCACATTGCAATGTTATGATACTGACATTTAGTATACTAGTCACTTAAATATCATGCTGTCATACTTTGTGGACTATAAGATCCCAACATATGTTCTGAACAAACAAGTGGGAATGCCTTTCCCGGTAACTTTGAATTGTAATATTCACTTACAACAGAATTAAGTACACCCGTCATAGCTTATTCAACCCTTCACGTGCAGACTGTCGCTGTGAAATATATTGCTAGTGCAATACGTAAACGTAACTGCTGCTAATACCTATATAACTTCTTTGTCTGCGCATCGGGAGGGTTCCCGATAGGGTAACCATTGTACGCATGTTATCTAGATCCAGTCCACGTGCACCTTTACTTATTTCGTGTACGAGTATTCACCTCATCCAGAGAACATTGGAGGTTATTCTTGATGTATACACTCTACCGACCGTCTAGGTAGCAACCCTCCTATGCACGCAATATGCGGTATGTCTGGCGGATTTATCCTCACCTAGCTCCTTCCGATACTCTGGTTATTTACTCTATATGTTTTCCTTCCAACAGCTGCTCGCTCCTTGCTGTTCACCATGGAATCGAACATGATCAATACACATACATGGCAGGTCACCGCGGAATCATTCTCAATATCTGACACGATCTCAAGATAGATAACTTAATTAACATCGAGGTATCGGTCCGGGATGACCGAGCACGCCGTCATTGCGATCGGGGCATGACCTGCATCAGTCGCGAGAACAAAGTGCGTCTGTTATATCGGGTAGAGTTCGACTTTGACGGCGACGCATCGGGTTTGCAGATGCTTATAGGAATCATTGAGAAGCACACGGCATTTAGCGTGGAGATTATTGCAGGTGCGTCTATGCACGAATTGCGGCTGAATGGTACTCAACTTGAAGTGCGGAGATCCGGTGTACCGCGTGTACGGCGCAGCTCGGAGGAACCGAGGTACTTCAATTTGCCGGCTCTGG